CAGGGGTACAAATATTCGTATGTTTTGCATTTCGAGTGATCGGGCCGATGATCCGGGGAAATATTCATGATCCGAAATTCCAATTTTCATCTTTTACGCTTAATGACATGTTTTAAATCGCGCACACCATGACGCTGCCGCTGTGTGCAAATGATCGCTTCCGCTTAGGGGCCGCATACCACTTGACGGTAAATATACTAATTTATTTATTTGACCGTTGTTATTGTTGCCCGAAGATATTGTGTCGCACTCTGCGACAAACAACGCCATCACTTAGAAATGACCTTAATGGCTCTGCACCGCCTCAGGAAACATTGTATGCATCTATTCTTGCCGGAAACATAGTGGAGAAGCGCTGTGACCAGATTACAACCATTCCCCTCAGAAAAAGTTTGGGTGCTTTGGCAACGGTTGGTGTCCAGGTTGCATAGGCTTGTTCCGGCGTTTTCCTTGCTGTGGATTAAAAGGCTTGGCAAGCTGTTCACATAATTTACCATGATTGAATGGTTATAGCAAACACCCTTTCCACACCATAACGGTTTTTGATGCAACCATGGAAGAAGAGTGTATGTATAAATTTCAAGGGGGCAGAATCCTACTGTCGTGCTAGTTGGCGGTTGCGCTAAAGCTTACATGAACATCAAGCGAAGCGCTTTTCCTCTGCTGCGGCTGAAGTTGTCAGCTTGACCGTGCAATCCACTCCGGCTTGTAGGACCACTTCAGGCTCAAATTCTTCGGATGCCTTTGATGCCAGCGCCTGAGAGATTAAGTTTAGACATGTTTTACCGATACCGAACGACCAGGGATACTCGAAAGTCCAGAAGCTGATTACCTGCCGGGTGCACCGGAACATGAATTGACTAAGTTGGATTCACATGCATACATTTATGCGCGAACTGAGCGGCTGGAAATTCGGATCCGCCTCTGTAAACTGCGCGTCTTCACTGGTCGCTTAACATATACTTTAAAGCATGGAAAGCGCAGCGGAGTACAAGAATAATTCTAACGCCATGTGGTAGTCATTTGATATCACAGGAATTATTCACTGTGTCCTTGAGTTTATTATCTTAACATTGAACTTCGGCGCCTGTCCAAGCCTACGAGGTTTCATTCATAAGAAGATACACTCCACAACTTGTATTCGTTTTTCCGGTCAGTTGGAATCGGATCTTTTGGTTCGACTAGGGTTGTTGGGAGTACCATAGACCTGACAGCACTGAGGACATTAAACGACCGACAATACTTGATTACGAATCCCTATGAACAATTGCTCACATCCGGTGGGAGAACGGAGTGAGGTACACCGAATTTCATTATATGGCGTTCGGTCACTGGCCAGTCCGGTGCTTTGTGACTGGACGATGTTGCGGCGGCACAATCAACCCTGGCTAGTTGGCATCTGCTTCTAGCGGTCATGGGTTCGATCCCCATTAGGGAACCGAGGGAATGCGCACCATTGACGAGCCCCAAAAGGGCGAAACGCGTCTGGTGCTTTTCTGGACTAGGCCGTGCTATGTAGCTTGTGAACTATCGGGTTGGATACCTTACAAAAATTACAAGCTTGAATAGCCAGTTTAGAGTGGCTCCATTATTTGGTATGCACTTTGCACCTTCAATGTGCAAAATGTTGCTGCGGGACCACCAGCCAGTTTATGACCCCTGGACCCTTGCTAACGAGGAACTCGAGGTGGTTGATCAATTCACTTATCTTGGCAGCCACGTCAGCAACAATGTGCGCATAAAAACTGACGTCAGATCACGCATTGCAAAGGCCAGAGCTGCCTTCTTGAACCTGCGGCATCTTTGGCGACAGAAGGGAGTTTCCCCCTGTCTGAAAGGCCGTGTATACAAGGTCACAGTGAGGGCCGTTCTGATCTATGGTGGGGAGACTTGGCCCCTTCGGTCTGAATATCTGAGGTGCCTTCAAGTCTATCATCATTGTCTGCGAAGCATTGCTGGTGTCGGATGGCACCAGCGTGTCCGCAGCGATGATGTGCGTAGGCGAGTACCAGGTAGTGATAATCATGCTAGCTCCCTAGAACAACAGATCGCACTGAATAAGTTGCGTTGACTCGGGTGAGTGCTACGTATACCTGGTCACCGCTTACCTAGAAGGGCCTTGTTCACTCTACCAGGTGTAGGGTGGCGCAAGGCTCGAGGTGGACAGAAGTTGACTTGGCAGCTGCAAATAAAGGCACTAGCGACCAAACTGGGCGCCATTGGTCCGTCTAGCCTTCCGGGCTGGAGTCCACGTGACTCGCCTTGTGCTTGGCTCGAGACTTTACAAGACATGACTCGCAACCGGCGCCAGTGGCGCGTCTGCTGCCGTCACCTAATCGGATTGCCTGTTAAAAGTGTTTCAAAATAGCAAGAAGAAACCACATTTTAACAAGGTATACTGAATTCATTAATTTCGTGTGTTCTCCTCAGCTGTTTGCAAACAATTTGTGGAAAGGATAGGCTACACAGCAAGGGCGATCACGTTGAAATGTTATCGGCGAAAATTTAAAGTGGTCGAAAATCGGTGAGTTCACGTGGCCCGGTCAGAGTGAAGACGACACTAGCCACACCAGGGTAGGTCGAGGCTGGTCACGAAGTCCGTTTGTTTGCACAAACTTGGTTTCAACCGGCGAATCACCGAGGTCTCAGCGAACTGAGGTAGACGGGGACTGCTTTGTTTCTTGATTACCTTAAACCCACCACGTGGGTTTGTAAACGGCTGGGGAGAACACAAGAGATTACTGAATTCAGTATATCCTGTTAAAATGTGCTTTCTACTTGCTCATTTGAAATTCGTGAAGGGAATCGCTTGTTTAAAGTATGTTTGGTGCTGAGTTATCTGCGGGGTAATGGCTGATTATGACGCGGGGCAGTGAAAGCCACAAGGAAGCTGTCTCGCCGATGCCACCTTATCTTTGCATGATAGTCAGCTGTTTGTGACGGTATGTTGTCTACACAAGGTGTAGGCGCCTTGACCCTGAGTGTTTGCTTAGGGCATTAAGGTTTTCAGGTAAATCCCCTTTCTCTCCCTCTTATTATTCTTTATTTCATAGGTCATGATGGTTGCATGGCAGCGAAGCATCAGTTCAAATGGCTGATGTACTATTGTTATTATTATTGTTGTTGTTGTTGTTGTTTTGTTGATTAGAGTATTAGCTGAACTCGTATTGCCTTCGGTCGTTCGGTCATGGATGTCATATGCTTGTTAGCCGACCGTCTCGATGTGTGCTGTTTTGTCACTGCCGTGGCAAGTTGGGTGAAACTCTAACCTAGTGAACCAACGCTATGGCAAAAAAGCGTAGAACAACTCACCAAAATGCTGAGTTGGTTTGGTGCCTGTCTTCATTCTGGACAAGGAGCATCAATGGTCGGATAGCATACAGTTGTGACACTGTCACGGAGTCAGCGGAATCGTCGTATTCTTCCCCTCACTTCTGACATGACTATCCTACCTAAGGATTTCGATTATGTGCTTAACTTTCTTGCCTAATAATAGTACCAATTTTATTGTCACTGTTGCCGCATTAACGCAGCCAAGTGAATCCAGCGCATTTCGGTGCAGTACTCAAATTTGAACTACTGAACTGCGCATAAGATGACTACTAGAACGAGGGGAAGAGCGTATCCTATGCGCACTGGAAATGCGGACAGAAGTAATGGATAAGTTGCGTTATGTTGCAGTCTAGTAGCTAGCTGCGGCGGCCACAATGAATCAGCGGTCTTCACACCTATTTCGGAACGTTTACTTGGTAGAGGGGATGCCAAAGCCGAACAGATTCGAAAAGGTCAAACGGCTTTCAGTGTGTAAACCACTGGCTGATTGAGTATGACCGGGAAGAGTCGTCTTTGGTGTCCATCCAATTTCTTTTACTACTGTTGTAGTGCATGTGGAGCATTACATGTGGTTGGCGTGCGGCTTCAGATATGATCGTTGCACATCCCGATTCACGATTATGAGCATTCTAGTGATAATGTATAAGTAGTTACGCCTCAGCAACAACTTCCAACCTGTTCACGCTCCATCTGCAGTGGTCACTCGTCCATTTATCGTTAAGTAGACAAATATTTCACTGGAACATGTTAACAATGCTCGAACCTTACTGACGGAAGATCCCGTTGCTATGTTAGGAGTCGGATTATCCAAGTTCGCGAGCACAGTGCAGGTATATAACCAGTTATAACACATAACAGCTGGCACAACTTATTCTTCCCATCTGGCTGTGCGTTCTGTTTACCATACTGATGAACAAAAATGACCGCTTTTGACTTTCGGGTTTTAGTGCTAGAGTTGCTTGAAGATATCTCTTTATTTGGAGCCACCGGCTCAGTAAGTCGGCTGCGAAACGTGGACATGAGGGCATGTTGGGTAGCTAAACTAACCTTGACCACAGCACTTGCAACGAAGCGAATTTTCTCCGAGTGAACCTTGTCGAAGTGCAATAATTCATACGATCAACATTCCGTCGTGTCTTGCAAGCAGCACGAGGCTGCCAATCCGAGTTATGCTTCGATTGGTGTGTATGGGTGTCATGTGACTCAGTGCATTGCACTCGGCTGCCAGCACACTGTGACACATTCGCAAGGTCTACCTAACCAAATGTGCACAGCTCAGTAGCTGGGATTACTCTGGAACGGTTAGAGTCCATGTACGCATAGTGTGTCCAACTCGGATGATCATCAGACACTCGTTATTCGCTCGTCTCTAAAGCAGCGTATCAGCGTTGATCAGGTCAGTACTCGTTAGACTAACTGTTCGGTTTGGTGGACACTGGTTTAAGGTCCATTATTCAGGTTCTTTGTAACAAAATTGGATTTCAGTTCGCCAAAGTACCTTTCACAATTGTAGGGGCATATTGTTTGGTGATTTCCAAGAATAACATCCTATCCCACTTCATAAACTAATCTGCTCCGGATGTTTTGCACCATTAAAACATGCCGAAATAGTTAGATGTTTAAACAAGCAAGAAAGGAAAGTGTAGGTCAGTTAAAAGTTCCCTTACCTCTTTTCTTCGAATTCTTGGAATACTTGATGTCGGCCTCATCATACTTACATCTGAAATCGGGACGCCGTTCATTGTGGATAGAACGCGTCGTCCACCCGGTGGGGTGGGCAAATCCAATCCTTGTTCCACCCAAACCGGACCCACAGGTCCGACGCGTTTGAGAAAACGCGGATACAATTGCCCGCCACACACACCAATCTGTACACCCGGTTTGATTTCCGCTGGCAACAGGTCCTTCGCGAAATCCACAAGGCTGAAAGGTGACAAGATGGAGTGACCTAGTTATGCGAGCAAGGCAGTAAACATCGGCGCAGCATCCAATCTAACGTGTACGCTAACCGCTAAAGGCTAGTTGCTAGTAGATGAAATGCGTATAGTCCACCTGTGGCTCGCATCTGTACGTTAAAATAAGGGCGGAAGTAAGCACAAAGTGATAACCGGGTCTTCTGCAACCTCGTCGATCAGAAATGTGCGTCATGTACTGTTTTAACCAAAGATTATAAGACGCGTGTGTTCAATAGGAGGCCAACTCTTTGTTTTGCGCTATCGCAGAATGCTTAGGCTTATTGTCGATTGTGTAAGTACAGTGAGTGAATTCGATCGTGGCCGCTGACACTGGCTCAAGCAAGTTTAGAATGAGATTTCGCATGATACAGTGGAGTCGACCAAGTGGTTTGATCTCAGTAACTACTTGTTTATTCAACTAGTTACTTGTACCTATTCATAGATTAAAAGGCTTGGGTTCGTGAGTAAAACGTTAGCTTATTAGGGAATGGGCTTGATAACGCACATCCTGACATTGTCAAGTCAATTACGAGCGCTGGTGGTGTCATTTTGAAACACTTGCCGCCTGTGAATTCATTACGACGCGTAATCTCAATCTGGACCATAATTCACTTGGGAGTGGCCCTCTGTCATTGGGACCGCATCCGAAGCAGATAAAAGTTGGGTAGTGCTCACCCGCAATACTGCACTGCAGCACTGCACGACAAGTGGAGTAGAGATACCGGGCACTGAAACCGGGACCTTTGGGATTTCATCTGAAGCTTGTACCGCAACATCAAAAAACCCCAGCTCGAGTCGCCGTGTTGTCATCTTTACGCGATGAGTGTAAACCAGTACGAAATAAGTCGTGAAGTGCCGTGTTGCAAACGGGAAACCTCTGACGCGTTCACTTAGTGACACACTCCAATATTCTATCCTGGAGCTGCTCGGCGTGTTATTTCGATATGGTATGCTACCATAAGATTGGAAAGAAGGTAAAGATTGTGGTGATCTTCAGGTGGTTCTAAATTCCTACCCCGGAGCCACATACCCGACAGCCCGACAAAAGTCTTGATTAGGCGATTGGGAATGTTCACTAGGTGCCGAATTCGGGAACATCGCACCGTTCCCAACTTGATCGGGATGGAACACCACAGCTTGGTCAGGGATAAACTGTTCGAATTGTTCCCAAAACTCTGTACCTAGTTATGCCAGGATCCAGTCCACACATTCCCGCCTGACCCTGTGCGCAGCCACTGACCCACAACTCACTTGTCCACACTCATTGCACCTTAGATCCTCCACACAAACACAGCCTCCAGGTTTCTATGCAAATACCGCGTGTCTACACAGACGCCCAAATTCGGTCATTCCCTATTCCTTAGATTACAAAGAAGAACTGTGTTATAAGTATTGAAAGGTTGAATTGTGAGTTCCTGCAACGAATCTACCAATAATTTTATCAAACATTCCCCTACCCATTTGTGATCAAAATGCATCCCTACAGCTTCTTTCAAATCAAGAATGTGCTTCTATGCACCCAAGATTGGTGAATTTGCAGGCTTCAAATGCTATGCGGACATGGCTACTGTGGGAACCTCGTGAACTCAAGAGCCTAGGCTTTGTTCGCTGCGAGGGTAGTGACTTGCATCGCAGTGGAGGATGGATCGCATTATATCCCAGTTAGGCTACAATGGATGCCAATCTTCCATCCGCCCCCAACGGCTCCGTGGCGTAAGTTGGTAGCAGCCGTAGATTCGGTTCTTGCTAGAGTCGGAGAATGCGCACCACTGACGAGCCTCCGTAGGGCGAAACGGACGTCCGGTGCTTCTCTGGATTAGCAGTAAGAATATCTGGTTTGTGAACTGTTGGGATGAATCAGTAGAATTTCATCTTACTGACAGAACCCAAGCAGTCAAGGTGGGCAGTCACATCCTATCGCAGCACCGTGGCGTCATGTAAACCAGTGCTGTGCGACTACTTTGCTTCCTCGAGTATATAAACGACATTGTGGACATTCTTGTCTAAGACAGGCCTCACATGTTTATGGAAGATATAAAAGTTATGTAGATATTTGTTCCCCTGGACCAGGAGTCCATGATCCGAAACATACAAACTGACTTAAATGCACTTGAAGGATGGTGTTTTATCGCAAATATGAGTTTTTCCGTCGAAAATAATAATACTATGTCATAAGTGATATAAATGCACAATCGCTAATATTATTAGGTAGACCTCTTGCATGTGGCCGTCAAGTAAGAGAATTATGGCTTCATTATTGGAACATACTTAACTTCTCCGAGCATATACAATGCATGGTCGCTAAAACCAAGAAAAATTCAATGTTGCCTAAACTCTTTACCGTAGTAAGGGTCAAACGTACACACACAATGTTACAGTACTGCACTATGTTATTCAGCAATGAAAGCAGAGTGACACTGCGGCGATAGAGCGCGTTCAACATGCCTTCAAAAGACAGATCTTGGGCTCCACTCAGACTCATGTATAGTTTGAACGCTACAAACTGCTGATGCTAGCTACGTAGAATAAAGCTAAACATATCACTACTTTTCAACATATTTCAACTACAACACAATGAACTTTACCTTATCCGTAATAAAAAATTCACACTTCAGTCTCAAATACGTGCACCAACGTGCTTGTAAACTGCTTCCTCATTAAACATGCATCGATCTGGCATTGTTGCCCACTGCGCACATGCACATCCCTTCACATGTTCTGTTTGAAGATAGATAAATGTCTCACAGTTCCAAAAGCAATGAAACGACTACAGCTTTATATCGTACAGACAGTGTTTATTTGAAAGGATCAAGGAGCATATAATATCACGTCAATGACACCACTCGTTCATAAATTAAAAACCCTCACTTGTTAACACAGAAACCAGAAAAAGAAAACAGACCAGATTAGCACGCGCACTCTTCTAACCTATATTACATTCTCTCCTTATTCGGCCATACCAATCTCAAGGCTCCCATATCAATATTGCCTACAAGGAAGTCAACGACGGAAGGTAAACTGAGTCGTCGTTTCCACTTTTTACCCCTTCTTATATCCCCTCGATTATCGGTCATACCTGCCACAAAGATTTCATGTGCACAGAAGCTTACGGGGGAAGCCAATCGGGTACTCACACTCTTTTACCTGACAACTGTTTACAATCATTCTAAAGAGCACTCGTTTCGATAGTTACTATCGTTACTTTTGTCACAGACACGTGTACGCGTAAAATAGAAAACCACTAGGAAACTAGTTTCGCATATCCGCTAGGGAATTCCGAGACGTTAGTAAGTCCACTGATGATCCATGAAAACACAGATCTGATTAATCATGATGTAGTACCATCTCTAGTATGCTACAAATAAGTTAAACTGCATGCCTTCCTTAACTATATTTACGTAATATATGCTGTAGAACACATCATTATAGATTTGTTTTATATTTCCCTACAAGACTTTAGATTTGTTAAGGCTAACATTACCACAGCGGTTTACTTCAGTTGTATATCGGTTAAGCTGTTCACTGTTCCATTTTTCCAACCTGTCCCTTTCCAGCAGACTCGTGCGAGTACCGCTGAAATATATGCGAATATGCCTTTGTGACTGGCGTCTTGTTTCTACCCAACTAACGATGGTGCAGTACTCGTTCTACATAAAGAAGCAAACCAATCCTTTGAGCACAAGTGGCGCTCGCCTACGGCACTTCGTTTTCCATTCAATTACCTCTCACTGCGCTCCAGTGACAGTCTACACTGCAGGCCAAGTGTATATTAGTGTGTCGCTGCCACAATATCCTTGCGAACTACCAACCACCATACGAATGATACAGTGCTTTAGGTGGGATTGACTGACTGACTTAAATGACGTGTGTTTCGCCAAACTGCGATCACAGGAACTCTGTCTATTCACTTAAACAACTAACCACTTTTCGGTCATTTGTACGAGTTAATCAGGCCAATAGACTAGGCCGTGTCCCGTGAAATCGAGAAATAAACTGTTCATTTATTTACTTGAGAGCGTCGTAGCAGGTTCCAAATCAGATAGTCGTCCAAGTGCACGGAAAAGCACCAGATAGGTTTCAACCAGTTGGGCATTATCAGTTGTGCTCATCCATCGGATACTTAAGGATTCGAACCCATGACCACTAGTGTCCAGCGCCGCGTCAGCAACATATTTATAGAGATTTCGATTAACTCAGGGTTATTTCACTGAAACTTTGTACGGGTAGTGGGGACCCGTACTAACGTCCATGAATTTGAAGGGCGTCATTGGCGATGAGCATGCAAAGCCTAAGTAATGACTTTCTTGTACCTCCTAGGAGTCCGGCTTAAGCTTAAGCAGCAGACACCTAGGTGAAATATTAATGCGAAACACTTACCTAGTTTGAAGCAGCCCCCTCAGTCTCGCTGGAAGTTGATACAGGAGAAGTCACTAATCAGGGAATACGATCGAATTCGTATTTCAGCTTAAGACTAACTGGTGTTGCGCAAAAATGCGCGCTCTTGAGAGGTCGTAGCATAGGCACTTCAATGAATATGGCAGATGGCTCTTGACCCTGCATTTCTCTGTTCGCAGAAGTTGAAACGACAATAGGACCAAGAGTTTAGCTTACCTACCACACAAAAAAACAGTTCATAAAGCGAAAAACGGTTTGCGCCATGGCGATTAAATCGACGAGATTAAATGGGTCATCAATTATTGTAGTTGAGCAGAACCAGCGTCCACTGTGACCTGTATAGCGAAACCTTGTAAAAACGCGCTGCAACGAGAAATACTTACCGGGTCAAACATAGCTAATATTAGGTGTTTCCGTTCCGACAAAAGAGGCATCAACGCATCTTCCCTACACCAGTTGGTGGTTGCGAAATACGACTGCGGCTATTTTGTTAGAAGGCGAGTAGGCACTGTTTTGTTACAGCAAGCATCGCTTACCATCAGGGCGGATGCAGTGCACCGATTTGATGATCCC